CAATTCGCATTCGTTCCTTCTCCCTCACCTCCCCTCTCCCCTCTCCCCTCTTTCTTATACCTCCCCTCTTAAGCCACTCCTGCGTCTTGAATCAAAAAAGGACCAATACATGCATACACACACACACACACATACATACATACATATTATATATATATATTATATATATATATATATATATATATATATATATATATATTATATATATATACATATATTATTTTGTATAAATAATCTTTTCTTCAGTTCTTGCTGATACAAATATTATGTCATTCTTATACGATTTGATTGTGATGCTATTGTGTACACGGCATTATCGACAAACTTTTTGAAGTGACATGTTTATTTTCAATTGATTTATATAAACTGATTAGTGCATCTGCTTTAGGGAAATTGTATCCATTTTTAATCATATCTGATTAGTATCACAATATGATTCATATTTTCGTGATTAGTTTCATTATCATAATTATTATCATTATCATTATCATTATTATCATTATTATTAGCATCATTATCATTATTATCATTATTATTATCATATTATGATCATTATTATCATCATATTATCATTATCATTATCATATATTCATCATTCTTATGTCATTATCATATTTTCATCATTATTATATCATTATCACATTTTCATCATCATATTATTATTATCAATGTATTCATGATCTTATTACTATTATTATCATTACTATTATGATATTAGTATCATCATTATAACTATTATTATTATCATTATTACCATTATTAACATTATTAACATTATTATTATCCATTATTTATCATTATTACCATTATTAACATTATTATCATGTTATTATCCATGGAGTTCTTGCTGTTATTATCATTATCATTATCATTATTATTATTAATATCATCATAATTATCATCAATACTATCATTATCATTGTCAGCATCACTATATGAGTATTACTGATTATTATTACTGTTATTATCATCATCACGATCATTATTATTTTTATTATCATCATTAACACTTATTCTTATCATTATTATCATGGTTGTTCCTTTCTCATCATTATTTTCGTAATTGTTATCATTATTATTATCATTATTCATTCATATTACTGCCATAGGTTATTATCTTTATTATTGTTATGATTACTATCATTATTGCCATTATCATCCTCATTTTTTATCATTATCATCATCATGATCATTATCTTTATTGCAATTATCATTATTATCATTCTTCTTCTTCTTTTATTATATTATAGCTATCATCATTGCTATTAGTACTGTTATATTGTTCATTATATTATTACTATCATTATTATCATTGTTATAATATCATATTATTTTCATTTGTATAATAATGATTATTATCATCATTGTTACAAATTATTGTTATTATCATTATTACTATCTTCATGATGAACTGTCATTTTTATATTTAAGATCAGATTACTACTAATATTGTCATCATTGTCATTATGATTACCTATTACATCATTATTATTATTATAATTATTACTATTGTTATCATTATCATTGCTTGTGTCATTATCATTGCTATTGTCATTATCATTATTATTGTAATTACTATTATTATTGTCATCATCATCACTATTATCATCATCGTCGCTATCATCATTATTATTATTATCATTACTATTATTAATGATAAAAATGTTATTCCTGTTATAATTTTCATTATTACTATAAATCTCGGTTTGAATTCCCGCTGCGCGTTCTCAATGGTAACTGATTTCAATGTGTGAAAACAAAAGCCATTCATAGGAGTTCGTAGTATAAAGCACTTACCATGAATAATATTTTAGGAGTACCTTTGCAAAATTCGTGGGACAATATGTCTTGCTGGTACTTCGATAAATTGCAGAGGATAGCAAAGGAACAATATATGAAAAATTAGGCGCAGCAAACTTGGGTTCCTCCATGCTGGGTGCTGAAAATGGAGTTTCGTGCTTGAAATCAGCATATGTGTCATCTTGACATGGATGCTCATATCTTGCTCTTTTCCTTGTACTTTCGTATCTTTTCAGCTGCATTTTGGATTTGCCTTCATCCAATTTCCTAAATGTGAAAGGTTTGACACGTAATCAGGATGTCACTGATCAGCAGATGGTCGACCTGAAGATAGGACTACTTGAAGTAATCGGTCAAAACCATAAACATATATATATATATATATATATATATATATATATATATATATATATATATATATATATATATATATATATATATATTTTTTTTTTTTTTTTTTTTTTTTTTTTTTTTTTTTTTTTTTTTTTTTTTTGACTGGGAACGAGAAATAGTTAACCAGCTAGCAGTGATAAGCAAAAAAATATAAAATAAAATAATGAATATTCTCACCAGTTTGAAAATGCCCAGAGCACACGAAAACATGGTTACTTCCACGATACCGAGGGGTTCCGTCCGCGCTTATCCTCTTCATGGCATGAATCCACTTAATTTCTTTTTTCTCTTCTTGTCTGGAAATGTACGAAAACATACGTTTCCCCATCATGTTATGGTCGGCGTAGCACGCTGCAGTACAGCTTATTGGCATTTTTACGGCGAAATTCGAATAAAACTTACTTAAACGGTTTTAGGTGCGGTCGCGGTGACTGCAACAATGCAAATAGTTTGTTTTTCACCCTGTGATTGTTGCTAAGCACGGTTGCCAAGTCAAGGCGAAGAGGCTTGTTGGTATCATCATTAGTGTTTGTATTATCGTTTTTGTTAGTCAATATCATATCCGCGATAGTAGGGGAGGGCTTGAAAGGTGCCAAGGAGATTTCTGGGAAAATGTGAGTAATATACACAAAATCAGTCAATATCTTGTCTAGTGCAGGAGCCTGTGCCCCATGCGACCCCCTCATGGGAGACTACCGCCCCTAACCCCGCAATAATCCTTATTATTATCCTTATTATCATTATCATCATCATCATTATTATTATTATTATTATTATTATTATTATTATTATTATTATTGTTATTATTATTATTATTATCATTATTATTGCCATTATTATTATTATTATTACTATGTATAATCTTGTATGTATGCTATGTTATTATTATTATTATTATTATTATTATTATTATTATTATATCATCATTATTATCATTATTATCATCATTATTATATTATTTTATTATTATTATTATTATTATTATTATTATTATTATTATTATTATTATTATTATTATTATTTTTATTGTTGTTGTTGTTATTATTATTATCATTATTATTGCCATTATTATTATTATTATTACTATATATAATCTTGTATGTATGCCTGCACACACGCATTTATGTTACATACTGATAATACAGACAAATAAATACGCACATACGTGTATATAGATAGAAAAACAGATAGATATAAATAAATAAATATATATATATATATATATATATATATATATATATATATATATATATATATATATATATATATATATATATAAGTAGCAAAGCACCTTAAGACCTCAGTAACCGGACTTATATTTCAGTAAGTCCTTGGTTTATGACATGAATAATTTATTATTTAAACTGCAACAATGCCAAATCAAGCTCAATCATAAATGAAAATGAATTTTACGTAGGTTATCTGTATCCCAAATACTATCATTCAGCAATCCAGATATATCTCACGAGGACCAAGTGAACCAAGCTTTGCGCAATGTCTTGATTGAAGATGTGAGAATCGAGGAACCATTCTTGCTGCTGTGATGACTGGGCAGCAGAAGAGGATTATGGAAAGCAATCAGAGAGGGGAACTAGCGGCTTACACAAATCATTAATTGAATTTGGTAGTTTCTGTAGTTCTGATGCATTTGAACAGAACCGAAGTGGATTTCATTTCGGATTGTGTTTTTAGTTTTTCTTGTTTTCATGTTACTGCGATCATATATATATATATATATATATATATATATATATATATATATATATATATATATATATATATTATATATATATGCATTACTCTCGAGACCGTAACCAAGTATTGCACATTCAGTTTGCCTTGTAATGCGTTTATGGGGCAGTTAAGGTGCCCCATAAACGTCAGAGTTAAAAACAAAGAAAATGAGGTAAAGTAAAAGATGAATTTCTAAAACATTTGAATAATGTTAATTTTACTTGTCAGAGAGAGGTATTCTTATGGTATCCGAGGTACTCTTAAGGAATCTGTAATCATTCGTATTCATAACAAATATCCAAGGGAGAAGCTCTTTGAGGTTTAATCGCGTTCTTTGATAATGTCTATTAAAATCTTCAGGACCATAATTTAGGCCACAGCATTTTTTTTTCTTGAATAGTGGGCAAATCTGGTGATAATGAAATGTCGAAGAGGGGGAAAACAAATCCCCAACTCCAAAATAAGATAAGTGTACCACCTGCCTTCCAAAGATCATTGGAATGTAAAGGAATGTATCAGTTCCAGCCCCACTTGGTGGAAGTACAATTCTATCTTACTTCGTCTTCAAGGAGATGAATGGAAACAGACAAATAATTCTTTCAACCAGAATGTTATTTTGGAAATCTAAACCAAAAATATTCACGATAGACAATAGACACGGCATGACATGACACATGGGGACGGGAGAAACGATACCATACACAATTAATCATAGACAAATTGATTTGTATTTATTTTTTTGCCATTTCTCTCGCGGACGTCACAATATCGGCGGAAAATTAGAATAAGAAAGATTGGGGATTTTTCATCTTCCTTGAAATAAATGTCGGGGGACCAGCTCAAGAAAAAAAAAAATTTTGTGGCCTTGGAGTGCTTAATAATTTTTCGACATGTCAGTGTTTGTGTTTGCTCGGACCATCAACAATACATACCGTTTGTCTTGTAATCTTTAGTTGTAATCTTTTTAATTGTAGAAGCTATCATTCAGTAGTAATTTCTGTTTAAATTTATAAAGATTAGCAGTTTCTTCGCTAGCACAGGAAAAGCATGATAATACCCTTATTGCTTATTTCCTCGAATAAGCAGTTTGCCACTAAGGGATGGAATTTCTTGTCACCGAACTCTCGCAATCATTGTTTTATTACATATAATACCGATTTTCCATTAGATCTCACCCTACTGTCTCCCATAAAGTGCGCATGGTATAGCGACTGTTATCAGACCATAAATATACATGTAAATATCATCAGACCATTATCTATACGTGCGTACAAGGCGTTATTACTTCTTCCACTGGGTTGCTTGTTTGGTTAATTGGTTATTTTTTATAGTCAAGTGGGTAGTTTTCTCGTTCGTAAATATTTTTATTACAGGATTGAGCTTAAAACAATATATATCTGTCTAGGACTCCGGGGGGGGGGGGGAGATCAATTGATACTTTGGATATTCATCTTGACTAGGGATGTTTTTTGAAGATATTCATCATGCAGCTTGTTGGTGATTATGATTGTTTGAAGATTCCTGTGCGGCAGTTATGTTCCCCATTGATGCCCCCTTTTATTATCATGATATTATTACCATTATAGTTGTTGATATTATCTTCATTAATATAAATTTGAATGCTGTTGTTTCGTGGGATCCTTATTTATTTTGAAACTGCTGGCTCTTTCATTCTCTATCTGTCTGTCTGCCAATCTAGCTGTCTGTCTATATATCTATCAGTCTATCTGTGTAATTCCGTCATTATTAGAAAGCATTTGACTATGGCGGCGTTATGCACTTTCTGAGCTTTTTGGTTAAATACAAAGGTTTTCTGATATACCAAGAAGGTTTAGTAAAATAACATTAGATCACAAATTTCTTTATATACAGTATTAAGCCAAAAGTGTTAGTGGGGTTTATTGTCCTGAGGCACGTTTAGGTCCATCATGGCGGCTATGCTCTTACGAAGCACCTCATGCCGACTGCCCCGCTTGACAAGTGTGTCATTTTCTGTAAGGAAATGATGATCTTAGTTTTTTTCTTCTTTTTGTCGTTCTCTCTCTCTCTCTCTCTCTCTCTCTCTCTCTCTCTCTCTCTCTCTCTCTCTCTCTCTCTCTCTCTCTGTCTATCTCGTTCGCCCACGCACTGTCATTCCCTCTCTGCCTCTTTTTTTCATTCTCTCTCTCTCTATCCATCTATTTATCCTCACCCGTTCCAAAAATCATCCATTTAGTCATCCAACCACACATCTTACTAAACACATTCAATTTAATGACATAAAAAAATCCATTTTCATTAAGAAGACCTCACCTGGTTTATACCCTCGCCCGTGAACTCTCTTTCAACGAGCACAGCCTTGCTGTTTTGCGTGTCCGCAGGTCTTTGGGTTAGCTTGTTGCCCTCCAGTCCGAAAATCACCTGGAGGACAAGATATCATTAGATCATAAATACTAAGAAAGTGTATTTGTATCAAAATATCCACTTAACGCCTCATCTTCCTATTGACTTATTCTGTGATCCTTCCTCTCTATTCTTTTATATATTCTTTACCAATCCAAAAAACGAAAAGAAGACCAATGAAAATGAAAATGGATCTCCACAAGACCCGACGACCTTCCGTACCTTAATCTTTCCGTCCTGAGTGTCTATTTCCGTCTCTTCGCCCAGTTTGAACTTCATTGTAACCGTCTTAACCGCCGCCACTACTTGAACCGTCCATGTGTCCCCTTCGATCTTCACTTCGATGCTGGGCTTCGCTTTGGACGCCATTTTGCGCATCACGAAATTCGTTCCTAAAATTTCAGTAATTTGTTGATGGTTTTAGGGACATTGTTAATGGCATTTCTTCACAAAACTAATAACAAGTAAGGTTATCAAAGTAAGGATTGGTAGGTTACTTTAACATCAGTGCTGATAGTTGAATGTACAGCGAGGGAAAAATGTAATGTGATACAAACACAAAAATACATTACATTATGTGTATATATAATTAATATAATATATATATATATATATATATATATATATATATATATATATATATGTGTGTGTGTGTGTGTGTGTGTGTGTGTGTGTGTGTGTGTGTGTGTGTGTGTGTGTGTGAAACACATAGTATATATATATATATATATATATATATATATATATATATATATATATATATATATATATATATGTGTGTGTGTGTGTGTGTGGTGTGTGTGTGTGTGTGTGTGTGTGTGTGTGTGTGTGTGTGTGTGTGTACATACGTATATAAATAAATGATAGGTACACACACAAACACACATATATATATAGATAGATAGATAGATACATATACTTACACATGTACATATAATATATATATATATATATATATATATATATATATATATATATATATATATATAGACACATATCTTGTTTATGTTTGTATGTATCCCCAGGTGTATCTGTCTATCTGTCAATCTCCTTGTTTATCTGTGTAACTATATATGTCTGTAAATCTCATCTATATGCCTAACTCAGTATTCGTATATCCACTTGTTTCTATATGTCTGAATCTAGGGCCATATATTTTTATCTATGTCTATATTCATACCTAACTATCTGTAATAGTCAGACACGGAGAGATTCGTTCGTGTGTATTTGGAAGCACTTACCTATCTTTTCCAAGAAGGCTTCAAAGTTTTCGTCCCTGTCGTGCTTATATTTACCCTCAAATTGTGCCATCTTGCTGCTGCCTTAAGCTGTAGAAGAAAAGATTATTATCAGTTCAAAACTTCTTTGTTTTCCTAGGCTATAAACCTTTTGAAGTCCATTCGTCTTTTTATTAGGATATATGTATATATATATATATATATATATATATATATATATATATATATATATATATGTGTGTGTGTGTGTTGTGTGTGTGTGTGTGTGTGGTGTGTGTGTGTGTGTGTGTGTGTGTGTGTGTGTGTGTGTGTGTGTGTGTGTGTGTGTGTGTGTGTGTGTGTGTGTGTGTGTGTGTGTGTGTGTGTGTGTGTGTGTGTGTGTGTGTGTGTGTGTGTGTGTGTGTGTGTGTGTGTGTGTGTGTGCGTGCGTGTGTGTGTGCATGGGGTGATCAATTAAGATTTCCCCTAACCCACTTTCCATGGAATGAACTGTAGTTATTTGTCTTTCTCTACATAGGTCCCACCAAGACTGACACACTTCCCTGTCGTTTTGTGCAGCTGTAGACTACTCGCTTGTAGAAGTCCCCAGATTGCATGTGAAGCCAGGAAGTGACCCGAAATCATTGCAGTATCATCTTTGACACGTTTGCTCTTCAAAAATGACTCCATGGATGGAGAGATGTGAAAGTCAGATGGTGCAAGGTCAAGAGAATAAGGAGGATGTGGAAGGATGTCGTGGCCACAGGTCCGCATTTCCATCTGGCCAGTGTGATAGTTGTGAACAGGGGCGTTGTCTTGTAAGAGGTGGACATATTAGGTCAACATTCCACACCTCTTAGTCTTGATAGCCTCCCCCAATTTCTGTAGCAGTGGCATTGAAGCGTAGTAAGCTAATGTAATGGTAGTACCTTTTGCCAGGAAATGTATTATCACTACTCCATCCCAAAAGACTGTGAATATGGCCATGCCTGTCATGGGTGTGACACAAGCCTTTTTGGGAGGTGGTGATTTATCTTAATTCCCTTTGGAAGGTGTTTTAATTACTATTTTTCCTACTCGGAATATTGTTTTGCGATTAGAAGTGCCTTAGTTTTTCTTTCTTTCTTTCTTTAGCAATTACTATTCATAGCACTATGTTGACATTGGGCAGTTCAAGTGTTTTGATTCTTATTTTTTCGACAACTGTGCAACATAATTTTTTGAATCTTGTACTATGTATATTGTTTTAACATTGTTCATCTGATGCTTTTCAATTCCTTTTTTGTACTGTTAAATGGTTAACATATCTGCATAACTGTGTCAATACACTGCATTTGTTGACAAAAATCTATTTTCCACCAAGCCTTAGGAATGTTGTTGATTTCGATCTTGGTAACAAAGCGACCAAAACTAATTCCTTAATTAAGTAAATGCTTTTCCGAAGGATGGGTATAGCACTAGTATGTGTGGGTGTGGGTATATGCACACACACACACACATACACACACACACACACATATATATTTATATATATATATGTATGTATACATGTATATATATGTATGTATATATATATATGTGTATATATGAATAAACACACACACACACACTAGTGCATATATGTGTGTGCGCGTGTGTGTGTTTATGTATGTATGTATGTATGTATGTATGTATGTATGTATGTATGTATGTATGTATGTATATATATATTATATATATATACATATATATATATATATATATATAATATATATATATATATATATATATATATATGTGTGTGTGTGTGTGTGTGTGTGTGTGTGTGTGTGTGTGTGTGTGTGTGTGTGTGTGTGTGTGTAACAGAAAAACAGGCTATATATAGATATAGATATACATCATACAATTTCAACTAATAGCAACAGAAAAGAGACTCACCCATACTTCACTAATACTGCATCACGCAACTAATCTATGAGTCCTGTTAACAATTTCCGGTAAGATTGTTCAAGCAAGGCACTCAAATATATGCAACAATCACAGGATAAATGTTCTGTGATTTTTATAAAGAAAATAAAATGCCTGAGAAGAATTTTTGAAAATAAGTAGGCTTACACTGGATATCGAGTATCATAACGATTCAAACGTTAGATGGAGCAACATGAACGCGAAAAGTGCTATCTCAGAGATAAGAATAAGCTTTATGGAACGCTCGGTAAAAAGACCCATATACACCTTGCTGATAGTGTGTTTCTTTATAAATATGAAGAATAATGAAATCATCCAACTTATTGCCTGTTTCTACTTAATATCACAAATGAAACTTTCCATAAGAACAGCAAAATATATAGGAACGCTAAAAAAAAGAGAGAAAAAAGCAAGATTTCGGAACAAGGGAAGTTTACCTTGTAGAAGGAGAGGTCTACTGTGTAAGCTGGTCGAGTACCTGGGCGTTACTGGCATATCCTCAGTCCCTTAACCTCAGCTCACCTTCG